ATATTAGCTCTTTATTATATAGGCTAACAGTGAAGGGCTGCATGAAGAGAAAGAAGGAAGGAAGGAAAGAGAAAGAAAGAAAGAAAGAAAGAAAGAAAGAAAGAAAGAAAGAAAGAAAGAAAGAAAGAAAGAAAGAAAGAAAGAAGGAAGGAAAGAAAGAGAAAGAAAGAGAGGGAGGAAAGAAGGAAGGAAGGAAGGAAGGAAGGAAGGAAGGAAGGAAGGAAGGAAGGAAGGAAGGAAGGGAAGGGAAGGAAGGGGAAGGGCGTGACAATAGAACTCGAATTTCCAGGCCATGGCAGACTATTCCAGAGACTTCGCTCTTACCCCTCAGCCTGTTTCATCGGCACCTCGTTGGAGACCGTTCAGTGTCCTCACCAGCACTGTTGAAAGCACAGAAAGTCGCCCGTGTTGTCCTCACCAGGGAGAGGCTTACGCTGTGGCCGTTGGTCCCTGCTCTGCAGGCGCCCAGTGTGTGCAGGGTCTCGATGGGCGTGAATGAGAGTCCCAGGCCCATGACGGTCCTCCAGGGAGCTCCTGCGGCTGGTGGTTCCCAGGATGAACCAGTGAGACTGTTCTGAGGGCCGAGCAGGGTGTGGAGTCCCTGGCAGCGTGTGTCGGGGGCGGGGGCAGCGCTGGGCGACTGGGGAGCAGTGCCCCTGAGGTCACAGGTGTGAGGGGCTCAGCGCGCCCCGGCCGGTGTGGAGGGGGTGCCGGGTGGACAGAACCCGCTGCAAACACGCCGAGCTTCGTGAGGGGAACGGGACCGGATCTGGGGAGCCAGGCCGGACCCCGGTCCTCCAGGCTGTGGTGCTTAGAGACCACAATGTCCCCCTGTGGGACCTCGGGGCTTCAGTCTGTGGGGGTCACCGTGCTGAACGGCACCCATGTTCTGTTGTTGTTTGTTTTAAAAATTATTTTTACTGATTTCAGAGAGGAAGGGAGAGGGAGAGAGAGAAACATCAGTGATGAGAGAGAATCATGGGTCGGCTGCCTCCTGCACGCCCCACACTGGAGATCGAGCCTGCAACCCGGGCCTGTGCCCCGACCGGGAGTCCAACCGTGACCTCCTGGTTCATCAGTGGACGTTCAACCACTGAGCCACGCCGGCAGGGCCCCTGTGCTTCTGTTTCCATCAGCAGGTGTGTTGTACTAACATCTCACCAAGGCAGGGATACAGGAGGGGCAGGGAAGCTGAGAGTGTGTGTGTGTGTGTGTGTGTGTGTGTGTGTGGGTGGTGTGTATGTGTGCATGCATGTGTGTGTGTGCCTGTGTCCGTGTGTGTGCCTGTACATGTGTGTGCGCGTGCGTGCCTGTGTCCGTGTGTGTGTGTGGTGTGTCTGTGCATGCGTGTGTGGTGTGTGTGCATGTGCGTGTGTTGGGATGAGTCCATTTATACCCATAACAAGGGACACTCGGGGGGTGGGGGGGGACCATAGAAGATATTCAGACCCAAGCTCGGGCTTCAGGTCCGAGGTGACGCCCCACAGCCATAGCTGACGGTGGGTGGGCGGGGGGGAGCTCATTGGGGAGAGCAGGTCTGGGGTGCAGGAGGCACCCTGTCATCATGGGACAGGCACGTCCTCAGAAAACTGCCGACACCGTGAGGCCCAGCCGGAGCGGGCTCTTCCCGGGCGCTGAGCACGTTCCTTCCTCAGGGCGCACAGGAGCAGCCGTCTCGGTCCCACTGTCCTCGGAAGGGGGCGTTTCCCAGGCTCCCCCCCCCCCCCCCCCCGCCTTCTGTGACAGCCCTTAGGAACGAGGGGTCTTTGTAAACAGGTAATGGTAAAAGGATGAGCCTGACTAACAACAATAACCATGAAAGTCATCTGCTGCTCTGACCCAAGGTCAGTCTTAGGACTGAATATTAACTATAGACCCACGAATGCTTATGCAGTGGGAGCATTGCATATCCTGCTTATAAATCCGTACATGGACAGACACACACACGGAAATACAGTGCGTGCTGGCCGTAGAGCGATGACGGAGGGGCCTGACCCTGCTCGACACTCAGTGCACATTTTAAAAAGCAGAAACAAGCCCATTTTTCCAAATTGGCTTTGCAAGAGGTGCGTCCTGGGGGGAGGCCGCGTTTTGTTTGTGAGCTGAAGGCCTTTCCCGGCGGCTCACTGCTGGGAGCCCATCTCTGCTGGGCGCGGCCAGAAGCGCAGGGGTCTCCAGCACCTTCCATTCCCCCGGAAATGTTACCTATTTTCACATTTCCCCTGGAGACGCAGGAAAGCAGCCGGAGTTGTCGTTTAGTTTCTTTTCCTTGCTTCTCTCGCCCTCACTCACTTGGCTAACGTGAAATGCGGGTGTGGGTGGGTGCGGGAGTTGGAGCCACGCTGCCAAACAGCAACCAAGCGGATTCTTCCTGAAAATTGTGTTACTTTGTCCGCAGTCTGCCCGGAGGGCTCGGCTCTGCTCTGCGCCCTGGACAAGCCCCCCTGCCTCCCACCTCCAGCCTCTGCAGTTTACTGACGCCTCTGGTCTGACCCTCACACAGGACACAACCCCCCCCCCCCCATCTTCTCAAACACAGGCCCCATCTCTTAGCGAAAGAGCACATTGTAGCTAATATTTTCTGCAAGGAGATGGGAGCACCGGGAGCACAAACCCCACGTGTTTCCAGGCCCACCACAGCCCCAGAACCCCTGCCCTAACGCCAAGCACAGTCCTCCCAGAGAGGGAAGAAGGCAAATATATATATGTTACACTTGCCACGATTTCCAAATGCAGCTTCTTTCACAGTCTAAGGTGCCAGGTGCGGGCATAGCTTGACGAAAACAATGCAACCCGCTAACCAATTTCCAGCCCTGGAGCTGGCGGGCCTGCCCGGTGCTGGGGGAAGAGGGGTGTAAACTCAGTCTTCTCTCCACCCACCCCCATGGCGGCCCGGAGCTGGGCGGAGTGAGGGGCGAGGATGCCCAGCCGAGCGCGGCGCTGGCCTGCCGGGAGGGGAGGTGGATTTCCACACCTGCCTGGGGTTCCCACCCCTCCGATGGCAGGCCCCCCGGTAATCCTGCCTGCAGACCCTTCTGGCTCCAAAAAAAAGAAGCCGGAGCACGCCTGGCCGGAGAGGACAGGATTGGCTGCAGTGTTTGTCTTTAGGATGAGTGTGGGGGGCGGGGATAGTGATGGCGGTAAATTCTTTTTCAAATAATGCGGCGTGAAAACGGGGAGCCGCGTGGCTGCTCGGGGCCTCGGAGGAGATGCCCCTCAGGGAATGAGTCTCATTTGCGGGGGGCGGGGGGGCACCCCCGAAAGGCAGCGGGTTGGGGAATTTCATTGCCGCGGGCAGCTGCCTGGGCTGCCTGTGAAAGCCGAGCAGTGTCTTAGGAACGGTCGCGAGCTGCCAGCTCCCCAGCGCGGGAGGCGGCGGAGACAGGGATGACGCCAGACAGCGAGTGGGAAGCGGCGCTGTTCTCTTAATTGCGCCCCGAATATCTGGTGGCGGGGACTAAAGAAAGACACAAGGAGACGGCTTGCAAGGCGAGCTCGCCGGGTCGCAGGCGGCTTTACATAACCCACCCTTCCCAGGGCGAGGACACGTTTCCCCTGGAAACTTGGGGTGCACCTGGGGTCCCCTTTGATCGGTGTTGTTCAGCTGAAACCGCGAGCGACTGGGAAGGCGAGCCAGCTGGGCGCTGGGTTTCTGGAGGAGGCTGCTCTGGGGGGCGCTGGTGGCCGATGAGGAGGAGGAGGAGGAGGAGGGGGGAGGGGGGACCTAGAGGAAGAGGAAGACCGGGAAGGAGAGGGAGCTGGGGGAGGGGACACGGGAGGGGGGCGAGAGGGGAGGGTGGGACGAGTGACGCCGGGGCGTGGGGTGCGCGAGGCCGGCAAGCCCCAGCGCCCGACTCCGAACCAGCCTCGGGAGTGGCCAGATTGAACGCGAGGACCGGCCCCAGCCAAACCCCACTGACCGTTACTCCGGCCTCCGCCCGGGGCGGGGCGCACGGGCGAGCGCGCAGAGCCAGAGCCGGCCAGAGCCGCACCGCGGGGCCTCCAGCCCGCACGAGGAGGGGACACAGATGGAGCAAAAGGACAAAACTGGAAAAGGCAGCCGGGGGAGGGAGCCTAGAAGCCTCTCGGCTGTAAGTGGATTTCTTTGCTTCAGAAAAAGGGAGAAAGGAGCCCACGTGCCCACTAGGTGTTGTGTTAAAGCGCCACCTTTCGTCGGCCCGGGACGCAGGGGCTCCCGGCGGGCTCGGCCTGGGGCGCACGAGGAGCAGCTGCGCCCACCAGGGGCGCGCCGGGCTGCACCGCCATCTCAGGCTGTGCGCGTGCCCGCGCGTGTGCACACGGCGAGGGGCGCGCTCCGGCCGCTCGCATCGTGGGCCGCGGAGCCCGCACAAAGGCTCCGGCCCCTCCCGGGCCCTGGTCCTCGGTTCGCCCGCTCGCCCCGGGCGCGTCCGCTCGCCGCGGTGTGGTTCGTGCCCCCAGCATCCCGGGGAGAGGCGCATCTGTGCACACACGCGGATTTTTTAAAAATAACATGTTTCTAGACCTGCCCCCGGCCCCCACCCTCCATCTTTGCGGAGCAGCCCCTGGGCGGGGGGCGGGGGCGGGGCCCCGCGGTTAATAAAGGGGGGTGGGCGGAGCCGGCCGCGGCCATTGGCTGGCCCGGGGAGTGATGTCACCCATATGACACCCTGATAACTAGTTGGGAGAGAGTCCCCAACTTTTTGCCGAAGGAGCGCGCGCGCCTGGGAGTGCTCGGGTCCGGCGCTTGCGGCGGGAGCCACCAGCAGGAGAGAGGGGTCCCCGGGCTGCCTCGACCGCCGCCGCCGCCGCCTCTCCTGTCGCGGCCGCAGCCCCCCGCGTGCGGGCGGCCGTTGCCGCCGCAGCCGCTGTGTGCAGCCTGGAAGGGGGGGCCGGGGGGAGGGGGGGAGTCGTGGCCGCGGGGCGCCCAGGACTTTGCAAGTTGCCCGGGAAGGTGGAGGGGCGAGAAGGGGAGGGGGACCTCCGCACGAGACCGAGCCCGAGAGCGAGCGGCCCGGGCCGGAGCGCCCAGCCCCGCGGCGGATCATGGTGCAGCAGGCGGAGAGCTTGGAGGCGGAGAGCAACCTGCCCCGGGAGGCGCTGGACACGGAGGAGGGCGAATTCATGGCGTGCAGCCCGGCGGCCCTGGACGAGAGCGACCCGGACTGGTGCAAGACGGCGTCGGGCCACATCAAGCGGCCGATGAACGCGTTCATGGTGTGGTCCAAGATCGAGCGGCGCAAGATCATGGAGCAGTCCCCCGACATGCACAACGCCGAGATCTCCAAGCGCCTGGGCAAGCGCTGGAAGATGCTCAAGGACAGCGAGAAGATCCCGTTCATCCGCGAGGCCGAGCGGCTGCGCCTCAAGCACATGGCCGACTACCCCGACTACAAGTACCGGCCGCGGAAAAAGCCCAAGATGGACCCCGCGGCCAAGCCCAGCGCCGGCCAGAGCCCCGAGAAGAGCGCGGCGGGCGGCGCCAAGGCCGCCAAGGGCTCCGGCAAGAAGTGCGGCAAGCCCAAGGCGCCCGCGGGCCCCGGCGCCAAGGCGGGCGCGGGCAAGGCGGCGCCGTGCGGGGACCTGGGCGCGGGCGACGACTACGTGCTCGGCGGCCTGCGCGCGGGCGGCGCGGCCAAGACGGTCAAGTGCGTGTTCCTGGACGAGGAGGAGGACGAGGACGAGGACGGCGACGAGCTGCCGCTGCGGATCAAGCAGGAGCCGGACGAGGACGAGGACGAGCCGCCGCACCCGCCGCTCCTGCCGCCGCCGGGCCCGCAGGCGCCGCCGCCGCTGCTGAGACGCTACAACGTCGCCAAAGTGCCCGCCAGCCCCACGCTGAGCAGCGCGGCCGAGTCCCCCGAGGGCGCCAGCCTGTACGACGAGGTGCGGGCCGGCGCCCCCGCGGGCCCGGGGGGCGGCAGCCGCCTCTACTACAGCTTCAAGAACATCACCAAGCAGCACCCGCCGCCGCTGGCGCAGCCCGCGCTCTCGCCCGCGTCCTCGCGCTCCGTCTCCACGTCCTCGGCCTCCTCGGGCGGCAGCGGCGGCGAGGACGCCGACGACCTGATGTTCGACCTGAGCTTGAATTTCTCCCAGAGCGCGCACGGCGCCGGCGAGCAGCAGCTGGGCGGCGGCGCGGCCGGGAACCTGTCCCTGTCGCTGGTGGATAAGGATTTGGATTCGTTCAGCGAGGGCAGCCTGGGCTCCCACTTCGAGTTCCCCGACTACTGCACGCCCGAGCTCAGCGAGATGATCGCGGGGGACTGGCTGGAGGCCAACTTCTCCGACCTGGTGTTCACGTATTGAGCGCGCCCGGCGCCGGCCCCGGGCCCCGCGGGCACCCCGCCGGGGTCCTGCGTGGGGAGGGCGGCCCCGCGGTGCTGCCGGGAGGATGGTGGCGGCGGCGGGGGGGAGGGGGGGTGCGGGGAGAGAAGAGGATGCTCACGTTGACCTGATGCCGTGACACAAAGGAGTGGGAAAGGATGGTGACGTTTTTGGTGGCGTTTCAGTGAAATGAGTAGTTTTTAAAGGTGTTTTTTTTCTGTCTTTTTTTTTTTTTTGGTCCCGTCCCCCTCCCTGCCTTTCTCGTGTCTCAAGGTAGTTGCATACCTAGCCTGGAGCTGTGCTTTTGTTTTTTACCCGCCCCCGAATGCGTTTTTGTAGAGACGATTTCTTTTTCCTGAAATCCGTGATTGCAACAAAGGCGCGGGGCGGGGCGGGGCGGGAGGCCCGGCGGAAGGCGCGGCCGGAGCCGGGCGGTGTGAAGGCTGGCCTCCGCCGCGGACCGCGGGCAGCACCACCGTTACGCTAGGGAGTTGGCTGGAGAATAGTTTTATTTTTATTCTTTCTTAAGAGATCTTAGAGAACTGGAGGGTTTTTTTTTTTTTAAATTTCTTATTTTTTAAGAAAACACACACACAAAATAAAGCAAAAAAAGGGACCATGGCAACTTTTTATTTTATTTTGTTTTGGAGGAAGAAAGCTGATGTCTTCTACGCATCCGATTCTTAACAAAACTGCAGGGAGCTTGAAAACATGCAGACTGTACACACGCTCACAAAAACTGTGAACTGACCGCGTTCAGAGCTTACTTTTCAGATCCAATTGTTTATGGTTTTACAAATGTGATTTCTACTTGCCAACGGTTTTTTTTTGTTGTTTTTTGGTAACTGTTCCCTGATACCTCCTTGATTGAATACCAGACAGCCTAGACCTCAGTACAAAAGGTATTGAAACATTTTTGATACATAACAGACCTCAGTCTTTTTAAAAAATTAATATATTTTCAGGCGTATTTTTGTACAGTGAAAAGGGAACATTCTTGCTGTGTTTTTCCAGTAAGACTTTCAGGCACTTCTTCCCTTTCAATTTCTTTTTTTTTTTTTCCTCTGTTTTTTAGCATGCAAGTTTGTTGGTACGTTATGTCCTGGTTTTTAAAGGATTAAAATTTTAAAATAATCCTTGCATCTAAAGGCCTTGTGGTTTAAAGGAAAAAAAAAAAGCAAACTTTTTTTTTGTACAGCTATAGTAGAGATTTGTTCGATATTTGTAGGTAAAGATTTATTGAAAATGGTGATCTAGACCTCAGAGCTGTTATAGTTGGAAGCCTGTATATGTACTGTACTATATAGTAGGACTGGATGTATCTCAGACGCTGTGACATGTGGGTTGGGGCCCCAGATGGGAGGTTTAAAACTGGATTCTCGATTTTTAGCAAAAGAAAGAAGGCACATAGTTTAAAAGGTTTCTCATTTTGTGCAATATGATCTAAATAAAGTACAGACCATCTGCCGATGTGGTAGCAAATGGTGGCGCAGCAGACTCCGTGCACCGTTGACATCATCGCCTGGTTTTGTGTCTTGTGTGCCGGAAGTCTGCATCTTGACAATAATGATAATAAATCAGCTGGAACTGATAGGGTCACCTCGCCAGCAGTCTCCCAGGCAGTCAAGCTGGAGGCCCCGCGGTCCCAGCGCCGTCCGTGGCCGGCTTGGTGCGCGCGGGGGGGAGTGGCGCGGAGATGGCCGTTCAGGCTGCAGAGCGCCCAGCCGGCGGGCCCGCTCTTCCTCCCGTGGCTGGTTATTAAAAAGCGGGAGGAGGATTCTCTCTCTCTCTCTCTAGGCCTTCCTCCCCTCCCCACCCCCTACTTCCTTTCTCACCTCCTGCTCCCGCCCTCTCCCCGAGCTCCGGGCCGGCGGGCCGCGCCAAGAGGCGGGGGAGGGCCGACCGGGTGCCGCGCGCGGTCCTGGGCTGCGCGTCGCGAGGACAGGCTCCCGTGGGCGGCGAGCGGTGGGGGCCCTGGGACCCGCCGCCCCCCTTAGCGGCAGGCGCCGGGGTAATCCATGTGGGTCTTTTCTTTTCTTTTTGGATGCTGCAGCTCCGCGTATGCGCAGTGGGCGATGCGCGGCCAGCTCTGGACCTCGAGTGAGGGCAGGGGCAGGGGACGGGCTGCCGGAGTGACTCCCAGCCCCTCTGGGCGGGAAAGCTCGTCCCAAGATGGGCGATGAGCGATGGAGGTGAGGGCGGCTGCGGGTGCGGCGGGGCCAGTCTGCCCGCCGGCGGGAGGGGGGGAAGGAGGGCGCGGCCTGTGTGCCGTCGGGACCCGCGCCTCGAGGACCCCGCCGCCCTCAGGGTGAGAAGTGGGTGCAGGACGCGTGGGTGGCGGCTGGGTGTCCAAGGGACCGAGCCCTCCCCCACCAGGGCTCTCCACGCCCGGCCACCGCGTGCACCTCGGCGCACCCCGCCTGCGACCCCGGAGGCGCGCGGGGACATCCACGCAGGCGCCTGAGGCCTCGGGTGCGGAGGGGAACCCCCTGGCCGCGGGGCGGGAGGAAGAAAGAACAGCCCGGGGGAGGCACCGGTGCGCTCTGCGCGCTGGCTCGTGGGTCGCCCCCGGACTCGCCTTCGGGCGGGCAGCCTCGGGAAGGTGTTTGCCTGGCTGTTCCCTCCTTTCAGCTGCCCCCCGGGGCTCGGGCTCCCTGCTCGCCGGGCACCCTGTGCCTGGGCCCTCCACCCCCCCACCCCCCCCCCGAACCCCCGCATGTTCCCAGCCCGCCTGAGCCCGCAGCCCCGGGCAGGCCTGACTCGGGGAGGCTGCGGGAAGCCCGGGGTGGGGGGGTGGGGGGGGGCTGTGCACCAGCCTTGAGCTCAGCCTCCGGGAGCCGCGGTGCCTGCGCGGGGGGAGGTTTTCAGGGGCTGATTGCAGCTCGGTCGGTGCGAATCGCCGCGACTCTTTTATCCACTGAAATGATGCATCCAGGTCTGCCCTCCATTTTCACTGGGATTGGTGAGCGCCTCCACCAGCAGGAGCTGCTGGGCCCGGGCACCCTCTTGCCCCGCCCCCTTCCCCACCCCACCCCCCACGTTTCCTTGGCCTCCTTGGCCCCTCTCCCCCTCCTCCTCCCCCCACCCCGCCCCCACGGGCTCCCAGCAGCCTCCGCCCCGCCCCCGCCCGGGAGCCACCGCCGGCTTCTGCGGCGACTGCACCGATGCGCGCGGAGGCTCCCGCCCCGGGGGGACCTAGATCCAGCAGGACGCACGGAGGGGCAAACACTCCGTGCACACTAGCACCACGGCATGATCTGCCGCAGAATGGAAACAGTTTTGACTTCTTTCTTTTTTAAGAAAAGCGATGTAGCCGGATTTCTTGATAGTAAACGACGAGGAAGTCGGGTGGTGGTCGGCGAGCTGAATTACGGCCCCGGGGGGACTCAGGGCCGCGCTCTCACACGGGCCGGAGGCAGCGAAAGGCAGTCTTAGTGGATTCTTGACCGAATGTCTACCGCGTGGCACAGGCTCACGGTGTTCTTGCCACTGGATCGTCTGCAATAAAAGCTTAACTGCATTTCTTTCCGTCTCTTCAATAAGTCTTACTCTTCACTAAGCATTGGCAGAAACTCTGAAAATGGTGGCGTGGGGTGGGGTGGGGTGGGGTGGGGTGGCGCTGGGCGGCCGCCTGGCTCAGGGGATGCCCTGTTGGTAACTGATGACGCCATTTGCCTTCGATTTCCATCTCCCAGAACTTGAACCAGCATCCTCTTATTAACCCTCCAAACTCTGGGGAGGACCTTCCATTCTTACTCTCCGACCTGCACCCCTTTATGGAACACACCCAGGCAGTGCGGGGGCCGGCCGCGCGTTTAGCCGGCTGTGCAGATCTGTGCGTTAGGAATGGCTGCGGTCACAGGGCGGATTCCGTCTTTCGGGAGGAAAAAGTCAGGCCTCCGGGCAGGGACGGTTCCTTTTTCATGTTAATCATGGGGCAGGGATTCGCTGCGTGGGGTGCATGCGGCGGGATGACTTGGTGGGGTTTTGTCTGGTTGGTTTTTTCTTTTAAAAAGTAAAGGACTCAAAAGGCCAGCCTTGTTTTTCTCTCTGGGAGCCGGACCCATGATCCAGTACAGGGATTCGCAGGTGCGGATCGCTTCGGAGTGTGCATGACTTGCCCAAGGAATCTGAGAAAGGAAGCCAAGAAGTCGCTCTATTTTAGAGTAGTCACTCAATATAAATATATTATACCAATCCTAGCTTTTCTATTCTCGGATGTGATTGATGGTGTGTATAGTCTTACTTTTTCCTCTAACGGGCATGTGTATCTTTGTGGACATTTTGGAGAGAGCTTTTTCTTGGACTCTCCCGTTTCTAGACTCTTTCTACGCGTTTACGGTGCGGTTCCCTGCTTTTCGCAGATTTCTGAGACGAATATATTTCTGCTTTTTTTCTTATGGTAGGATGACAGCGAAAATAGCTCACTGCGCTGTCGGTTTTACCGGTTCGATGAGACACTTTCTGTATTACAGTTTCAGGGACGATCCTTTCAGGATACTTCTCAGTTATTCTAAGGGCCAAATTTTGTACAATGTCCATCAGGAATGTCCGTCTCAGACGCCCTCCGTGCAGCCTCGGCCTGTGCAGGAGTCGAGGCTGAGCCTTACGCATCCCGGTGCAGGCATGTCCCCGTTCCCAGGGCAACCGTCGCCGCAGACCGACTCTCCAACATGCTTCTCGGGGGTTTGGCTTCTGTTGGCGACTGGTTCTTCCTCGCTGTCCACGCCGTCGACTGGTTGGTTCTGTCACATCCCCTTTTCGTTTGGTGACCTGGCGGATTCTCTCTTCCATAGCAGCTCACCTTTTCCCGGTCCCCTTCCACGGAGCCCAGGGACCCAATCACAGTCAAGTGGGAACAAGATGATTGAACTCAGTTCTCTACCATTAAACCCAGTTCTTTGCCATTGTACTGCTTTCTTCTTGACTCCTCACATGGCTTCGTTCTCCGCCTCCCCCAGCCCCCCTCTTGGAGCATTTTTTTAAACACTACCTATATCAATTAGCTGCCTAATTAGTTGTATCTGTTACATGTGGATGCAGTGAG